GCAGAGCTGGGTATGTAATTTGCTTTTCAAAAGATCAGTCAAGTTGCACATATACTTATTTTTATACCTTATCTAACGAATTGATCTACACTAATGTTATATACATTGTAATATTAGAAATGGATCACATGATAGAGTGTGTAAAGAAACTGATATAATTGATATTTGGAAATAAAACCGAATCGGGCACTAAAATTGTAATTCTCAATGAATAACTTTAAATACCTCGTTTTTTACTCTCTTAAGTTTGATATATTGTTCATCGCCGCCAGGGTTAGTAGATCAACTAAAACAGTCAGTATATTTAACTCCTAATGTAGTAGACTTCTATTGTTAAATAGGACATCAGCCTTTCTATCAAGAAGATCTAGGTTCGAATCGACAAATACAGCGCTTCTCAGGAGAGAAATGAAGATTACAACCAAAACGTAAGACATGTACAAGTTACTAATTAGCAACTAGTTATGAAAATACCCAAACTGATAACTGTATGGTTTATTAAGCATGACATAGATTGATATCCGATCACTACAACCTTACCGAAATTACGCTTGATATACGCTAATTACATTATCAATAGCAATTTTTGAAACACAACATTCTATATTGTAAGTATCTAAATAAAACTAAAAACGTTATTTAGCTATAAAATTATAAATGATTACCAAAAGAGTCTTTGCTCAATTAATTCATAAGCATTTTATTAACTTTAATTTCTCTTATTTATTATGGAATATTTAATATAAATATCAATTAATAGTTTTATAAAAACGACAGTGCAGTAGAACTTGTAGAATGGTCAACTAATTAGAGAATGACATTTGAATTCAAAAATTAAATTAAATTTATAACACTAAATGCAGAATTGTGTAAAAGCATTCTACAATACAGACGTGAAAAGATTTATCTCATACTTTCGCCACTAACAAAGTCAAAAAATTAACATCGAAATCGAACAATTAAAATTAATTGCATGAAACCGGATACCACTAATAAACGTTTTACGAAATTGAGTAGGCAGTACTTTTCTTCAAGCATTTTTGCTGGGCAGATAAGAGAGTAACGGATCCGCCAAAGTATAAAAAAAATAGAAAAAATAAAAATAAATGATAATGATAACAGACATCTATATAGGATATTTTATGCTAAAATTAAAATAAATATTAACAGAAATAAAAATATATTTATATATATGTATGTACCAGTATGATTATGAATATATTTCATAATTTATTTGTTGTTTCCTACATTTAGTTATTTATTTACCTATTCATTCATTCTTGTATTTATTGATTTATTTCAACATTCGTTTATTTATGTCTGTAACACTCATTTGTTTGTTTGTTTGTTTTTGACATTTCGATGCTTCAAGGCAACAGTATCGTTTCCGCTATTTGTTGAAATTGTATTAAGCCTAGCTTGTAACGTTTCTTTACCGTGGCATGGATTTTTTGGTTCGAATTTCGCGCAAAGCTACACGACGGCTGTCAGCATTAGCCGTTGTTAATTTAGCAGTGAAAGACTAGAGGGAAAGCAGCTAGTCATCACCACCCATCGCCAACTCTTGGGCTTCTCTATAACGTCCCCACGGCTGAAAGGGCAAGCATGTTTGGTGAGACGGGGATTCGAACCCGCGACCCTTAGATGGCGAGTCATGCCATGTTTATAGATTCTATGTTTACAGAATCGTTGTGTTGTTCTACACAGGTTTAGTGAGACATTTTGTAACAAACCCCGTGGAGGAAAAGGTATATACATGTGTATGTGTGTATATGTGTGTACACATCTATATATATAACAGGGGCGTAAGAGCTAGGGAGCCAGTGACACGTGTCTTCCAATAATTTGTGAAAAACAGGCTATATAAACGTATAGTTAAACGTCATCAATTACTGTGTCTGTATTTTAAAGCCAGAGAAATATTATAGATGTTCATTTGTAAAACCAAGCTACTATTGACTGTGTTATGGGTCATGAACAATGTATTTTTTGCAAGAATTGTCTTTTTAACAATTGAAACAAACTACTCAGTTGTTATCTGTAGAATGTAGTCTAATGTTATTTGTGTATTTTAACAAATCCAGATAATGGTATGATTTTAAAATAATCACACACACACACACACACGCACATATATGTGTGTGTGTGTGTGTGTATTCTAAGTAGTTGAACTTATTTGTATATTATAATAATCGTTTAAGTGTATTATTTTTGCCAATAGGTAAAGTAAATAATCCAGGATTGTTATCTTCTTGGTTGAATTTAAATATGGTATTATGAGTATTATCAATGATGCTTTGACAACATAACTGAATAATGTTGTAACGTTATAAAAATGGTCTAAATGTAGATATAGGTAGAATCTTAAACAGGAAACTTAACTATAGCCAAAGAATCTTTGAGTTTTTATTTATGAAAGTTTTATGAATTTAGTCTAAATACTGGGATTTAGAGAGAGAGAGAGAAGATTGAATTAATCCATAGCTTAATACGATGATTGAAGTGAAGATTAGGCCTCTGACAACTAATGTTGTCTGAAATTAGAATAAAGTTGTCTTTGTGTTGTAACTAAACATTGACTGTTTCTTTTCACTACACATTAAAATATATTTCCCTAATACATACTGATAGCTAATAGATGGTTTCATTTATTCTTACATTGTAATATTAGATTTGTTCAAACAACAAATAATTCCCTGAATAAACAACAGAATGACATATTCGAAGGCAGCCTACACGTTAACTTCCACACAACTTATTTAATCGAGTTTGTTGGTCTGGTGAAATTGAAAACAACAGGAGGGACAATATTTTATCACCGTGTATTCTCAGTTTCACTGACTTCCCGTCGAGTAATTGGGTAGAAATCTTTGGATAACTGGAGCTCGCCAGAAAATTTATTAAGTAGCAGAAACCTAACTATCTCTGATCTCAGCTGCGTTTGGTATAAAGAAAAAGACTCGACAAAGGTTGCACGCAGTAAAGGAATAGTTATTTCAAAACACAATCAAATAGCAATAATTTTAAAATATGGTGTAAAGTGTGGCACCTTTACTGGAGAGAGATATGAGTTATAAATTAAGCTATTAAATGTGGGATATTTCATTCCAAAATTAAAATATACGAATATTAACAGAAATAAAAATATATCTATAAATACATTTATTGCTACATTTATTAATATATTTGTAACTGCTCCACACTGAGAAAATATGACATTATACGTTAATAACGAGAAAGTCATTATTTTCAGAGTACAGGCACTTCACATGTGACTGATGGTGACTTTCAATACAATACAAGATATGTTGTATCCCTTTAGTATCACCCGCCTTTTTTCAGCGGGAAAATCACTGTCTATTTTTATACAGTTTATTCGACGTTACATAAATCTTTCCCACGAGAAAGTACACGTGGCACATTTATTGACTGATCTAGCTCCGTGAGCAACATGGATGAAAGGAACTTAATGGATCCCTGCGTTAAGCAAGAACAATCAACATGCACCAAAATTTTCTAAAATTGAATATATTAACTAAGAGATTAGGAAACGTATGGTGTATACCACATCATCATAGCAGAGACTCACTGAAAGCCCAAACTATAATATTCAGACGTACTTTTTAGGAAACCATCTTTAGAAAATTCGTAACACACATTTGAGAACAATACACAATTTGCAGGTCATAAATAAAGAGTGCACTCTCACCCCAAACATGCTCGCCCTTTCAGCCGTGGGGGCGTTATAATGTGACGGTCAATCCC